ACTAATAACTGCCCTTGCCGGGGCCCAGTGGCCCACTCTGTGGGCTCTGAAGAGCTCCCGTGCTGGAGGGGAGTTTTAGGGAGCTCTTTCTCCAGTTCCCATTTGTCTTTATTATGACACTCAACCGGCACATGATGAACAATCAGTCACTGTTAAATTACATCCCTGGGAATTGTACCAGGCTTGACTTCTTATCCTTCAATGTCTTCTCGGATGCTTCCTCCTTCAGAAAAGGGAGGCCCTGGGTTCTGGGCCCTGGGGAATTTATTATCTTCCGTAAGGGAGGAAAGATGATGTGTAAGGGGCAGTTATTGCTGAAGAAGAGCTTTATCCCCCTGCTTCAGGACCTGGCTCTATCAGGGTCTCTTGTGATGAATAACTGAAAAGAAAATGGTGGGGGAGGGAAGAAAAGAAAAATGGATGGACCCCCCCAAGCCATTGCCAAGCTCACCCAATTATCCTCAAAGCCAAGGCCTCGGATAACCTGATGACCACAGGCTCCGATATTCTCTGGTGCAACAGTTATGGAAGGGAATCCCTTGGAAGATTTAATGGGCACCAAACTTAAAGTCACAGGGAAATTAAGAAGACAATTCAAACAGGAAAATGCCTACAAGCCAAGCGCGAGGGTGGGAGTTTGCATCCTCTGCAACCACACAAAAGCCAGGTACTGTAGTTCTAGCCCTGAGGAGAGTCAGACCCTGGAGCTCTGCGACTAATCAGTCTAGCAGAATCAGTAAGCTCCAGGGTTGAGCGGGAGCCCCTATCCCAAAAGCAAGAGAGAGAGCAGTGCAGGAAGCCAATCAATGTCAGACTCTGATCTGTATACATATGAGCACCTGCACACATACACACAAATACACCACACACACATACACACAAATATACCATACACACATATACACAAATACACCACACACACATACACACACAAATATACCACACACATACACACATACATACACACACATACACACACAAATATACCACACACTCATACATATATATATATACACACATACACACAAATACACCACACACACATACACACAAATATACCACACACACATACATATACACACACAAATATACCACACACATACACACAAATATACCACACACACATATACACACACAAATATACCACACACATACACACAAATATACCACACACACATACATACACACACAAATACACCACACACTCATACATATATATACACACATACATACAAATATACCGCACACATACATACACACACATACACACAAATACATCTCACATACACACAAAAACTACTTTTTTAAAAAAAGAAGTTTCCTACTGCATCCTTACAGTGTACTCATTTTTAACAAGAAAAATGAAAATGAAACAGATTTGTGGGCTTGAGTGCAGATCAGTGGATAAAGTGTTTACTGTCCAAGTTCAAAGCATCACATTTGGATCCTCAGTGACCACATTTAAAAAAAAAAAAAAGCACACCTAGGTGGGCACGGCAAAATCGGATAATCAGCACAACCTCAATGCTCTACCAGGGGAGACAGAGCATCCTCAGGGCAAGCTGGCTACCTAGACTAGACAATTGGCCAGCACTAGGTTTAGTGAGAGACCCTGAGTCAGTAGATAAAGTGGAGCACAGTCCAAGAAAACATCAACATTGACTTCTGGCCTCCACATGCAATTGCACATGGACTTGTATTATATACACTATGTACAGAAACACACACACACACACAAACATAGACTCTGGTAGACAACTATGGAAATCTAATGGCAATCCTATAAATATTGATTACCACAATGGTTTGAATGAAAATGGCCCCTACAGGCTCATATACTGGGTATTGTTTAGGAAGGATTATGAGATGGGGCCTTCCTGCAGCAGGTGTGTCTTTGGGGTGGGCTTGAGGTTTCAAGCATGCTGCCATCCCGTGTCTCTTTTTGCCCTGTGTGGTGAGTCAGCTGACACTCTCAACCGCTGCTCCGCATCATGGCTGCCTGTCTGCTGCCATGCTCCCTACCATGATGGCCAAAATGGCCAGGGACTCACTCTCTGAAACTGTAAGCCCCCGGTTAAGTCTTCTATTAGCTGCCTTGGTCATGGTGTCTTATCACAGCAATAGAAAAATAAGTAAGACAATCACAGACTTCGAACTGTGGGAGACACGATCATGTTACCATCTTAGAAAACTCAAAGGACACTGGCTACTGACGGACAAGCTTTGGGTTCTTGACTCTGTTGCTAATTTTAAGCATTTCTTTGCCTTTTCTTTTTTTTTCTTTTTTCCTTTTTTTTGTTTTTTGTTTTTTGTTTGCCTCTTCTTACCTCAGTTCACAAACAAGAGGGCAAGCTAGGGTTTACAGGGCACCATCAACACCCAAATGAGCCATGACTTTGCCCTAAAAAGAACATAGGCTAGATGTGAGGAGGTTGAAGGAAAACGTGTTTGATTGGAGTGGGCACAGAGTGGGTATGTTCGGGGTGGGAGGCCAGCATCCAGCAAGACCTACCTCTGTATGGTGAGTGAGAAGTTCCTTTTGACTTTCTCAAAGGCCTCGCTAACACCTATCTTTTTCTGATACTCTTTACCGCAAATAGCCAAATCTCAGGTCAATACACTATCTTCACTTGAAAGAAGGCCCCACTCTTTGAAGTTATGCTTCGGGGAGGGGGAGGTTGTTCATTTGGTCACTGACCGGAAGGTGGGCATCGAGAGGGCCACAGTGCCTCACGAGAATCACAGGGAGGAAGGGGGGTCTGGAGAGAATGCCCAGAAATTGTTGAGATAAACTATGAAATGCTCAGCCTTGGCCACTCCACAATCAGCACGCGTTGGTCCATGGCAACTCTGATGGGCATTGTGCTTCATACTTTGTAAACACTGCTGCCCTTGTCCCCCCCAAGCTAGGTATCACGTCAGCTTCCTTTTTTAAAGGTAGAAAAACTGAAGTGAGGAGAGGGTTTGTCAAAGTTATAGCCCAAATATTTAATCAGCCTGGGCATCTAGAGTCCAAGCCCACCATCTAGGGCTCTGTAGGCTGCCGGCAGTTCTTTGCTGAGGGTGACAAAAGCCAAGAAAACACAAGAGATTGTCATTGTTGTCACTGGTGGTGAAAGTGGTCTGCTTCCATTAACCAAACCCCCTCCCTAGCAGAAACCACACCAGTGGTGATAGGCAAAGCCAGAAAGGAGAATATTTTTGTTGATCAGAAGGCATGAGGGTAAACAGAGCAGAGGGTTTGTGCGCCTGCAGAATTTCCTCAAATTACCCCAGCTCTGCTGCCTCCTTCCCTTCTCCCTTCAGCAAAGCCAAATCAGGATAAAAAACAAAGCAATTAAAATATCTCTAATTTCCCCCCAATGACAGCAAAATCTTTTCCTAGAACATGTTCTCTCTGAAAACTCCATCCACACCACTCTCAGAGAACATCTCAAATCTGGGGACCCTTCACACTGGGAGATTGATGAGTGCCGAGCTGGCTCCCCAGGAGTCCCACCCACACTGAAGCCTTTCAGCGCCTTCCTCTTGGATGCTCTACCTCAGATGGCGTTCAGTGGGAGGCGACGCTGAGTACTGAAGAGATTCTCAGAAGCTGAATCTGACCCAGCAGCACATCAAAGCACCTGACATTTGCCCCGAGAAGACCCCGTGTCCCATTCCCAAAGAGAGTCTACCCACTATCTGTGACGGCCAGAACGGAGACTTAGTAAGTGGTGACAATGTGCCCCATACAAAGAGAACACAAAGGCCCTTTGCCCTCCACCCGGTTTCCAGTGTCTGCAAATAGAAGCTGCAACAGCTGCCACTCATTGTACCCTTACCGCGGTCCAGCTCCAGCCCCAACCAGCGGCCAGTTTATCTTCAGATGAGCGGTAACAAGCGGGAAGGTGTTGGGGCTTCCATTTTACAGATGGTAAAACTGCCACTCAGAATCCTTCAGCGTTAAATCCTAAGAGCAAGTTAATATCTAGTTCCAATGTAAGCACTCTGATCCAGTAGCCTACAATGTGTCCTGCTGCTCGGTCGTGCTTCAAGGGGGGGGGGGGGCAGAGAAAGTAGCAGTCTTAAAGGAGTGACATTTCAGGTCATCTCTCATCTTATTTGCTTGTACTAAGCAGTCATTTTTTTTTCAGAGCTATCAAGGTAACAGGCAAAGCGTTACCATATCACTTGCAATTGTTTTTGCTTTTAGGAAAGTTTCACAAACACTCTGCAGAGGGGGGAGCAGCGGGGAGCCTGCGCAAAGGTGGATTTCCTCTTCTGAGACAGCTGAGGTTACTCCAGTGAAGTACAGCCCAAGGAGAGCCCAGGCAGACAAAGTGCAGTGCAGGGTGGGGGTTCTTTCTGTTTGTGGTGTCTGCTTTCCATAGATGAAGTCCATTATGATCTTCCCAGATTTGAGTCAAAAGTGAGGAGAAGCAGGACATGAGGGAGATGCTGCTTCCCTAAAGCTGTATCTGTCTATTTCATGTACTTGTTGTGAGAGTCTTGCCTTCTCTTGTTGGTAGTATGGTAGCCGGTAGCCTTCGTGCTTAGAAAATGACGATAGAAATCTATCATCCATCTATCTATCTATCTATCTATCTATCTATCATTGTTTTCAATGTCCTTAAGCTAAGAGTTAACCATCTTTGATTACTTTTTCAAAGTCATATTTTTAAACTTTTATTCATCAAAGAGGTTTTAGGATAACTCTCTTAAAGAATTTAATTAACATTTATTATTTCTTTAAAACTGATAGAGTAATTCTAAGAGAAAGAAAACATAACCTTTTGGAGGTACAGCACATGCATGCCTACCTTCTTTGTTAAAACCTGGCTTCTGAATTTTTAAGAACCTAATGGCTTCTGGTTCTTTGTGTTGGCTGTCACTCCTAGCAGAAGTTTGCAAAGGCACATTAAGAAGGCTTAGGGTAATCCTGAAAGGTTTTAGTATTGAAAAGCCCATGAGATATGTGTCAGGGAGTCAGGTGAAACCTCACAGAAGAGTGTAAGTCAGTCTTTATTGAGCAAAATGATGTAATAAGAAATTATCTGTGGGAACAGGCAAAGATATCGTTCTCTATTACAGACACAAAACAAACAGAAAGCCAGAATAGCTCTACCAGAATTTAGATCACAGCAAGTAAACACCAAGTATCTGATTTATAAAAGAAGAAGAAGAAAGAAAAAGGCTAATTGACCTTCTGGGCATAGCCTGACAGTCAAGCAACAAAACCTCAATTGTGAGCAGACTCTATCTCAAGAGCAGCCTGAGGGAGGATTTGGCAAAATGAAGTTTGGGCTTGGACTAATTTCACATGCTAATGAGAATCTCCAGATAAAAGCCGCTTTATAATGGGCGCTAACCAGTTGGCAGATGAACACAATTCAGAACAAACTGAGCAGGAATTAGCCATGTTTGTCATGATACCATATGGCTTAGGAAGGAACTGCCAGGGTCTGGTTTAACCTATCAGAGGGATTGTTTAGGGGAACAATGTAGTTTGGCATTTCTGGGAAATCAGTGCAGAATCTAACTGCCTTCTCACAAGGAGACTGAAAGCTTTAGATGCAATCCTCTGTCATCCCCTGGAAGAAACTAGGATCCATCAAAAATCAGGTGGCAGAGATGTGGTCATTCTCTTCAGTCTCCAAAATTCCTGCATCAAGCCAAAAAAAAAAAGGAAAAAAAAAGTGACAGAAAACACATAAGTTCAAGAGCCAGATTCTCCACTACTGCACCCCTAACCTTGTGTGACTGTTTTGACTTAAATCGCAATGACATCTCATCTTCACAGATCTAGAAATATTAGCACATTTTCTGTGTCCAGCATCCACATGTGGACAAAGGCTCTCATATTGAAGAGGACAGGCAGAGGATATGTCAACCATAGCAGAAGGTTCTATCAGCCAGCGCTACTCAAGAGTCAAAGATCTCCCTACATGAAATTAAGCCTTCACTCGGTTTCTCCACTTTTAAAAATAAGAAACTAATAACGCATGCTCCCAGGGAGTGAGGTGAATCCACTATGTGCAGATGTTCTGTAAGCTTTGAGACGTGTTAGTCATTTTGGTGAGGACGGCGACAGCAATGACCCCCATATGAGAAGCCTTCATCTCACCAGAAATGATTGACAGTCTTGGTCTTTGCTCAGAGAGCACACATACCATGCTGGAGAGTTTTCTCCCAGCTGTACGCTCTCTCCTTCTCGAAAACTTCCCTTGTAGTTAGTCTTTGGGGACAAAGATCTAGACGATGTAAAAAGAAAGGACTCCATAATCCTGTTTAGAACATATGCTGAGCTTGAAAAGAATTATATCAAACAGAATTCGTCACTCAATCTAGTGTTTCTTCAGTGAATTCCCCCAATTCAGCGTACCTAGATCATACTGGCTAATAACGGGAACCTCGATTCTTGCAGATGTCTTCCAGAAGGTGGATGCTTCCCAGGGCAGAGCCAGCTGTGTCCGCCCGCATACAAAGCATCAGTTCTGTCTTCCTTTATGCTGTCAAGCTAAGAGACACTGTTTTATTACGTTATTTGATGGAGTCATACACAATTTCAATTTCTGAAAGTCAAAAATGGTCAGAATCATGAGTGCAGGGGGTACTTGTCTATACGCTCAGCACTCAAGAAGCTGGGGCAGGAGATGTTTAAGGCTAGCCTGCACTACATAATAGGACCTTGTTTAAAACAAAACAAAGAAGTCAGACACTGGCATCTTAATATGGTGCAGACCAATACTTAGGCCAGTTTAGCCTCAACGTAGAGTTCAGAGTTTAAGTATCAGCTGAGAAAAGCCTGACTCCAAACCTCACCTTGTCACTTAACAACTATATGTCTTTGAGAAATTAGTAGATGATTTAGAAAAATAAATGCCATTTGCAGACCAAAAGAAAATGAGGTTTTGTGTGGAAAATGCCATTTTGTATGGCAAAAACATTATTGAAAACTACTCATGGATCCTCATAATAAGGCTTTTAGTTGTTGATACACCACCTTTGCAAAGGAACATTCATCTTAGGGAAGATGGCCTCCCAAATAACAAAGTCTTTAAGAAGACCCTGGAAGCCCGTTTCTCACCTCCTGGCCTGATGAAGGCACTTCCGGCTTACCTAGAACTGTGCACTTCCGGCTTACCTAGAACTGTGCACTTCTGGCTTACCAAGAACTGTGCACAGGAAGCGCTTTGGATGGCAGAAAGAAGCAGCATCGCACACCTCCAAACACAGAGGCTAAAAATATAGTCACTTGGTCTTGACTTCACTAGCTCAAGACATAGCCATATCACAGTGATGTTCAACATCCCTTCTCGAGGCAGCAGAAACACCCCCTCCAAAACCAGGCTATTCTAATTCATAAAAGCAACCATAGAACTAAAGCTGTGGGGCAGAGCAAGGGCAGTGAGTGCCCAGCACTGAAAGGAGGCCAGGGAAAGAGGTAGCCATCATGCCCTGGAAACAGACACCAGAAACTGTGACCTTGAGGACAGCCAGGCAGGTGGCACAAGAGGAAAAGCACACCAGGTTGGGAGCAAGAGAAAGATGAACAATGACTCAGACACAGAATCCAAGCAGTGACCGAAGTCGGAGAATCATAAACAGACAATCTGTGAGCCAGGCAGATCCCCCCCCCCCGGGGGGGGGTTTACAGCGTGTGAGCGTCGTGTGGAGAGAAGGGTGGATAAGCAAACTTTCCTTCTAAAGGGATCAGAAAGAGTTGTATTTCTTTGTGCTAAAGACTCATCCATGTAAGATGTTTTTGCTTCCAATCAGTAAGTTCCAGCTTGTTACTGGAAGTGAAGATGGGGTGGCCTTAATTTTCAACAACAGCCAATAGTCATTCATTTGCCCCAGGTTTTTTTAAATTACATTTGTGTGTGTGTGTGTGTGTGTGTGTGTGTGTGTGTGTGTGTGTGTGTGTGTACAGCAAGCACATGTCGATGTCAAAGGACAGCTTGCAGGAGTCAGATGCTGGGGACCAAACTCGGGTTGTCAGGCTAAGCAGCGAGCTCTCCTGCTCTGAGCCCCACAATAACTCTTACTGTAGCAACCTGAGCAAAAGCACAGACTTCAGATTCAGAGAGCTGAGCCACATGGTTCTGTCACTTATTAACGTCACGCTGGAGAGCAATGCCTATGCCTATACCTTCAGCGGCTTCATTTTAAAACAGAAGCCCTAACACGCCTTCACTGACCCTGTGGTTAATCCGGAGGAGCCACACCTGGCAAACGCCTGGACCTGGGCAAGCACTCAACAAGGAAGGTCTCCTCCCTGTCTGGATGACTCCTCTCTTAGCATCTCTTAGCTGAAACCGTTGCTAGTCTTACTTTCCTGGTTGTCTTTCGGGTCCATCTATCAGGACCTGAATGTCCTTGTTGGACGTATGCCCTCTCCTAAGAGTAAACGGGCTGCCTTGTTTATTCTTCCAAAGCGACGGTGGATTTCAAACCTCACTCTTGTGTTTCCTTAAGATTTGGATCTAGTCCTTATTTTTGTTTTGAGTGTAGGTACCATCTTAGGCCACACGTCAACACTAGAAAGAGTTCATTGTCAACCGATGACAACAGGGTGGAAAAACAGTCCTCCAAAGCAAGCATATCCCGGACACCTGCCAATAAACAAGCCAACTGCCCGCCATCTCCCACCGTGAGCAGCTGCTCCTGGCTGGGGCGCTAGCCCTCAAGGTGCACCTCGCTTCACGCTTCACCGTCAAAGACGGTCTAGGTTCCTGGACTTCTGGATTATCAGGTTCAGACATCAGTGCCCCTGACTGAGGAGACCACCCAGAGGGCAGCTGGAGAGCCCTCAGGCTCCCCAAAGAATGTGCAGGAGAGTCAAGGGTCACATGCTCCAACCGGCTTGCTAAAAGTGTCCCAGGCAGACCCTGTTGAAAGGTCACCGAGGACAGTGACAGGGAACAGCTTGAGGGAGCAGAAGGGAGGGCGCTGAAGAATTTCTTTTTTAAGTAACAAAAATTACATCTGTTTCTGGCTCAGTTTGGACTTTCAAGTCGGAGTTTTTTCTTTCGAGGGCATTTCTGTGGCATTTGTAGCTCATGTCTAAATCACAAAATACATCCATTGTGCACTTCTGGGCTTGCGGACATGTGCCACGGAGCCCAGCACTGCGAATGCATTTTCTCACTTCATTAAACATTGCTCTGAAATGGCGTCCAAACGTCCGCTCTCCCTGCCCCATCTGGGGGGAAGGATTGTGTTACTTTCCCCCTGTGGGAACAGAAGGAATGGAGAAGTCACAAGCTGTGAGGGTTGATATTTTTCAATTTCACATGTCCGACGTTGGGAGCTGATTGCAGGGACAGCCTGGTCAGCCATGCCATAGCCAGGAAGGGCTCAGTTGTCTTGGGGAAGGTCCCATGTTGCCCTGCAAATCTCTGATGTCTATAGCAGCGGCAAAACTGGCCAAACCCCAGGGAGCCTTCTCACTTCAATGGGTGAGGTGCTGACTCCACCTCCCACAGGCAGGCCAGGACGAGTTCTGCTGACTTAAGACGATGCCACGTAAATTAGAACTCATGTAACCATATGGTCCAAACCTGCGGCTCGTATTTTATACACAAATGACTATGACAGGCGGTATTTTTGTGCTGACAAGTTGTATTTCACCCATGTTTACTTAGAATTCCATGCTAAAAAGCCAAGCAGTCAAACTTTATGCTATTTTCATGCAGAAAAATTCATTGAGTTTGCTTCTTATTAGAAGATGAAGAGAAGCCCACCAACCAATGCAACTTCAGCTTCACCCTTCACTCTCATCAAAGCGTTAGGCCCTGGGTGCTTTAGTTTTCTGATGCCTAGCATTTGAAAGCAGACCTTGAGTCCTGACTTTCAGACAGGCCTCTGACTGAGTGAGCTAAACAGCCATTCTACCTGATTCAAAAGCAGGAACTACTAGGATTACCAACTACCCCACATTCTGTGACCTCTGGGTATTGGCAAACAAAGCCAGCCCACTCAACCTTCTGTGACTTTGCCCCCTGCACACAGTGACCTATCACTTCTAAGATCTCTGGGTAGTAAAGAAAATAGCCAACCAGGTGCTGGCTGGCTCAAGCCACAGACAAAGGCAGAACAATGCCTCCCATGTGTGCTAAGATTTGGTCAAACTCAAAGTCAAGTGAGACCTAGAGACTTCAGGACTAAATTAAACTTGCAAGAAGTAGGAGACTTCGGAGCAAATCTTAAACTCGCCCTGGAAAAGTTCTGCAAGTGTGCAAGGGTGTATGTGTTTGTACACATCTACAAACAATGCCTTGTGCTTTGAGCCAAGTGTTCTTACTGTGCAAGGGTGTATGTGTTTACACACACCCACTAACAATGTCTTGTGCTTTGAGGAAAGTGTAAATGGTGTGTGTACAAACACACACACACACACACACAATGCCGTGTGCTTTGAGCAAAGTGCATTTAGTGTGCATGTGTGTATGTGTTTATACACACCCACAAACAATGCCTTGTGCTTTGAGCAAAGTGTAAATGGTGTGCGTGGCACACACACGCACAAACAATGCCTTGGGCTTTGAGGAAAGTGCATTTGACTGGAATATTCTTCACTCTGCCATCCAAAGTAGCATATTTGTGAAACTGAAGCCATGCGTGTAGCTTGAAGAAGATACTTGTTCTAATTTCTAAACGCAATAAAGAGCATGCTAACAAATTCACCAAAACTACAGTAGCATTTAGTGACCCAGAGTCATTTCTTATAAATCAGTTCTAACTCAGGCACTCAAAGCACATGGCTGCCAGCCCCCAGCCCTCCCTAGAACTGTTGGAGAGTCCATGTGCAGGCCCTGAGGGCTTCTGTGAAAGCTCAGCAGAGTTCTCCAGGCAGCTGACCTGGGTTTGAATCCTACCTGCTCTGTTCCCTCTGAAAGCAACTCTCTAATGTGGCCAAGCTCAGTCTCTGACTGGTAAATTGGGTGCAATGGACAAAGTCCAAAGTGTTCTGCTCTGATCCCAGCCGAGGTGGAGCTGCTGAAGGGTGGTGATGGAGGAGGTGGGGGAAAGTGCTCTGGGCTGACATCTGATTTGTCTCCCTCCCTCTGCTTCCCCTCCGGGCACCATCTTGGCTCTCCTCCCCAGGTGTTTATCTTTCAAGTCTTCACTGATAATGGCTTAAGGCCTGATTCATCCCAGGTGTATTTTAATGAGAGACTCCACAAAAGCTTCAAGACTATAAAGATGGAAGGGAATAATTTTCTTTTAATGAATATGTGCCATTCCATTATAAAAGTCGTGCATGACTGGCCACAAAAAGTGAGAAAACGCAGAAAAGTAAAACACGAAAGAATTTCCCATCATCCCATTTCCCAAATACCATATGTTTTCACAAACTCCATGAGAGGAGGGGCTTCACTGGCTTCAGACAAAATACATAAACAACTCTAGATGCTTCTTATCACTGAACATTAGAAGCCGGGAAGCATTTTCCCCATAGTCATATACTCCTCGTGAAGAACTGGTTTTAGTGGCAGCAAAAGCAGGGACATTTTCAAAGGCAAAACTTACCAATCATCTTCTTTAATCCTTGTTTTGAAGGAAATTTTCCTAATCCTGATAAGTGCTGGAGACAATGAACGAATGAGCCGAAACTAAGCATAGCTTGTCTGGGAGCAGGGGTTTTGACTGTATTCTTTGGCGTTACCCCGATATTATACTACCTCCCAGCCCACGGCAGGTGGTCTTTCCTGAAGAAGAATAAAGGTGGGTGTTTTGTGGCGACTCTGACCGCCACTCCTAACATACCCCTCACTGTCCCTGGTTTGCTGTCTTGTTCTGCGGAAGGTTGACAAGTGGCTTGTTTTCTCTGTGCTTCTGTCTCTTAGGTCCTGTTGCTAAGACAAAAGCGTGGGCTAAGACGATACATGCCGCACGCGCATCGGCTCTTCCCACTCATGACCTTCACAGGCATGTCTGAAAAACTGCTAGGAAAGTTGAGATGTATTAAAATCATTTTTATACTCCTTTCTGCAACTTATAAGCCATGCCTCTGAGTCTCCGGCTTCCAAGTATCTGAAACTTTTGGAAACTCCTCAAATGGATAAAGATTTTATTTGATGCAAAATTAAAGAACAACAACAATAACAAAAAAAAGATGCATTACTTCTTTTCAGTCAAGAGCTTTGATTCTCACAAAAGTGCACCGAGGCTTTTTATCCCGCCCTAGAAGCATGTGCAGACACCTGACATCAATTTAGGATCCAGAATCTCATCACCTCGAACTACAGCATCAGTGGTTCGAGCCAAGGACTAGAAATGAGTTTATGGAAAGCTACAAGTTACACCCAAGTATAACTACGAGAAGATTCTCAGAAACGATCATAGGTGGAAAGGCAGAATTTAATCTAACAGGGGAAAGAGGCATTTACCTGGCACTCAGCTGAATGCCTCACCCTCCGTGTGTTCTTATACAGATTCAACCAACCTCAAATCCCAGAGTCTTCTAAATTTTATCAATGCTAACGACATGCGGGATTTTAAATGTTTTAATTAGATTTATTTTTAAGGATTTTATTTTCTTATTATTAGCATGTTAATTGACATTTCCATACACGCATATAATATACTCTGATTAAACTCGCCCCCAACCTCTCCCACCCCCTCCCATCCTTATTGACCTCTTTTCTTTACTGCCATTCACGTTCCCAGAGTCAGGATTTTGGATTTTAATTTGTGACACATTTAAGGCCATCTAGAAACGCATGCATGTGACTAAGCAAGAGAGTCTAGCAATTCATGTGGTGTTAGGTCTAATAAGGAATCTAGAGATGAATTAAAGTATATGAAGGAAGTGTATAATTTACAAAGAACCTGCATCATTTCTATAAAGAACTTGAATATCTGCAGATTTGGGTAACTAAGAGCATGCAAGGGGCCTACTAACCAATCCCCAATGGATACCAAGCGACAGCTGTGATGCTTAGCATATTGTGCTAAAATACTATTATATGTTTTACTCCTTTAAAATCTAAAGAGTTCATGCATATACCACCGAAAATGCTTATGAACACAGGATTAATAGACCTGACTTTGAAAATCATTATGATATGAATATGTTAAAATTGAAAAGTACATATTATCAATACCACTCAGCCTCTTACATGAACTCGGACAGTGCCTGGGGAAACGGTGGAAATGCCTTTGTCAGTTCTGTCTCCTTTCCCAACACAGCAGACCTTGTGACGCAGAGGTGACTGAGGCGACCACAAAGGTGACTAGGAGGCTGGGGGATAGAACCCTGAAAAAAACACTAAAGGAAGCCAGGTGGGGAGGGAAGTTCCGTGAGATAAGGAAGCAGAGCTGGAGAACTTGGGGATTTTTTTAAAGTAACCTTTAATTCTGTGAGAGGATGTTTATATAAGAAGGTGACCTTTTCTCCCCATCTCTTCTGGGACAGGGTCAAAAGCAATGTACTATGCTGGCGAGAGGGCTTAGGTAAGACAGAAGAAGGAATTTCCCCAATGTGGAGATTGTTAAAGCCTAGAATGAGTTAGTAAGGGAGTCTGCGGACACTCTGCCTCCGGGGAACACTTAAAAATAAGATAAATTTTCATCTGTCATGGGGGGGGTTTAGAAGTAATCCAACCAGAAGGTCTCTCAAAGCATTTTCCAGCCCTATAACCTGAAGGCCAAATTCCCTCCAATTTTATTTCTCTAGTTAAGTAGATAGGAGATGGATGCCGGAAGCAAAACTCAGGCCTGGGGTTCGGCAGAGGCTGCTCCCTTCACTGTATAATAAGATGGTGCTGTTCACACAGGCTAAGCTGTAATCTTCCCTGGAAACCACATGAAGGAACAGCTCACAGCTCCAAACTTGGCACAACCGTGCAGACTCCTACACTCTCATCCCTGCAAAGACAAAACCATGGCCTCCCTTTGGTCTGCTAAAAAACACCCCTTTAAAAAAAAAAAGCGAGAGGTGAGGGGGACATTCAAGAGCTCCTGGAACTGGAGCTGCAAGCTGTTGGGAGACACCAAATAGGAATATGGGGGCGTGAAGTTGGTATCTCCAGAAGGACCGCAAGCACTGTTAACTGTTAAGCCATCTCTCCAGTCCCTTTCGGTTTTTAATTTATATTCTATCTTTTCCAGATGGTCCCTGGAAATACCCATTTCTACAGCTAGTAGTCACTACAAACAGCATTTCCAAACCTGATCGAATGCTTTCCCAGCAATGGCTTAGCTAAGTTTCCACCTTCGCTGTAAGAATCTGAAAAACTTAACTGGAGTGTGTCTCATTCTTTTCATTTTTCTTTATATTTTTAATCAAGGCAACAGCTGGTTTACTTGTAAGTCCGAGGGTAGAAAACCTTGATGTTTACTAGAGGGTCGATAAACAAGTTGGTATAGTTTACTAATTTTTTTTTTCTTTAAAATGTGTCAAGAGTCCTTTGTTTCTGGTCAAAACAGGATTTGAAAGGGCTCTGCTAAGCCAGTCCTCCTCAGGATCACTGGGCCTCCTCTTCTTTCTTGGCCCCTGCTTTTCTCCCTCCTCTGACTTCTCCCACCCCCTCACCTCCTCAGCTAAGAGCATTGTTCCCTCCGAGTTCTCCCACCCTTTTGTCCAGCACAAAATCTCTGAATCCAAGCGCAAAGAAAAAACATTGGCTCCGGGTAAGTGAAGAGGCCCCAGTAGAGACTCAGGCACATGGGCCCCGGCTCTCTAACAGCCAGCTCTCAAGAGGCGCAAGAAACATCCTTACACAAGCCCCTTCTTTCAAGGCCAGGTTAGAGAAGAAAGGGAAATGCCAGCACCTAGAGACAACACAAGCCCATTAAAGCATCCTAAATTAAAGTAGATCATAGCAGTTAGACTGTTTGTGGGGCTTTCCCATGGCTAGAACTTGGCTTACAGGTGAAAATTAAGATGGCCAAATGACACTCGTCAAAATAAAAAAAGTCCTTGTTTTTATTTGTGTTGAAGCTTGACAAAGACCTTAAAGTCTCAGTGGGCGTGAGGTGTAGAGAGGATATGCTTTACCCCACAAAGGGAGGAGAAAAGGTGTGTTCTCTGTGTCCAGGGTAGAAACCAGGACCACAGCGATGGTGTTTTTATTCAGGGTTCTCTCCATTCATGTCACAGGGTGTCCTGCTAGGATGACGCTTGTCATTTGTGTGTATAGTTCAGTCAATAATAGGCTAGAAATGGGTAAGCAGGCAGGACTGTAATTTTTTAAATGTTTTCGGTTATTTGAGGTTTTATTTGCCTCATGCTTCAGGAAGAGCAGCTGCCCACAGTACTCTTCTTACCTGAAGAGTCCCAAGGCAGCACATGACAAGAGACTGCATGCACCCCTCAGTTCATCCTCAAATATATGCACGTTTGTGCACTAAGAGATATTAGCTTGGGCTTCGAAAAAAATCCACGAAATAGCAAAGCGCTTTATTAAATATTTAAGACATGGAGAGGAGTGGATCAATACAGGCTTCTTGACTAGGGTTGGCCTCCGCAGACAATCCGGGTCAGAAATCTCAATCCTTTCTCCTCCAGTTTACCTGGAGAGGCGGCTGATGCCCCGGTTCTTGGCAGACCCCTCAGAGTCCAACGCTCCTTTCTCAAAACCAGAGACAGAGATGAAAGGGAAACAGGAAGCTATACATGGACAGGAAAGAGAGAGAGAGTCCCAGCAGAGCCTGGATTCGTGTCCCTACCCAACCCAAAGACAAAGGTGGCACTGCAGTCCATGCTGCGTGTTGGAAGGGACTGATAAGCATGTCCTTTCTGGGACAATTCCTGGGCTCCTTGAAGCCTTAAGAGACGAACAAAACCAGAGGCCACTTTAGCAGGGCCACTTCACTTCCTTTCCTCCATTCACCAAGCAGTACTCTCACTAGTGGACAAGAATGTGTTTTTGCACACAGCGAGTCTTTCCGAATTCAACCGACTCTACCTTTAAAACAAAAACAAAAAAACAAAAAGGCTTGCTTCCCTTTGTTTCCTACCCCATCCGACACCCCCCCCCCACACACACACACCAGTACTGAAGACATTGTAGAAAAGTGCCTTGACCCAAGGGATCTGCTGCAGGGTGCTGGTCCTCTATGGAAACTTCTGGATATACGGCAAGTTCCATTGCAGCACAACAAATCACCCTCTGAATAAAAAGCGCCAAAAGTGAGGGGGAAGAACAGATGAAAGCCGCAGAAGGCTTCGTAAATTATGTATGCGCCATGCCTGATGCACGCAGGGGTCGTGAATTCAGAGATCTCAACAGCACCACACCACCAGCAAGCCAATATCTGAGGCCTTATGTTCTGGAAACTCATTACAGCTCTGGGAATGAAAGTGCAGGGCCGAAAAGAGAAAACTACTAACAGGAAATAAATTATTTAGAAGAGGAAATGTGCTTGTTGTTGTCCCTTACTCTCTGAGCTTTCCCCAACAGTTTCAAAACTTATGGAAAAAGACAGAAGCCTGTCTCCTAAATTATCTCTCCAAATAAAATGACCTCTGGCCTAGGATGCAAAGGACTGTCCGTGCCTTCATGAACCAATCTGGAAGATGTATAATATACTGATCTTAACCCTTCCTTCTCCTTCTAAAATGTCCTAAGGAAATAAACCACAACCGAGCTACACCAGAGGCATCGTTTGCTCCTTCAGTTAGACTTTCTAATGAAAGAAAGCCCAGCTCCTTGCACTAAATCACAGACCTGGAACGAAGGTGCTGATACCTCTGTATCTGATCCCACGCATCCCCACTTTCATTCCCAGCGGTTCTCATAACTCTTGTCTCCGGCATCCAAGAGTACATCTGCATCA